CCGGACCCCTCATCTCCTCTGGGCCCCCCCTCCCCATAGCTCCCCCTAGTCCCTGCAGCCCCCTTGTTCTCCAAGGTTTCCCTATCCTTATGGACCCTCACCTTTAGACTCCCCCTGATCTGTCCTCATCCCCCTAGCCCTGGTCACCCCAGACCCCTCCTCCATCCCTCCAGATCCCCTGCAGTCCCCAGTCACCTGTCCCTAGAGACCCCCCACTCAGTCTTTATAGCTGCGCTTGACCCTATGGACATTCCATCCTTACAGACCCCCCCAATTCCTCCTCAACCCCCCAGTTTTCACAGCTTCCCCCATCCTGCCCCTGGCTCCTGCAGACCCCCTCAGTCCTTAAAGCCCCCTTGCTCCAATAGAACCCCCATTCTCACAGACCCCTCATCCTCACAGACCCTCCCCCCACAAGCTCCTACAAACCTCCACCCTCTCAGTCCTTATAGCCCCCCTGGTCCCTTCCAAACCTTCCACTTCCCTCAATCCTGATAGCCTCCCCCCTCCCTAGTCCTTGCATCCCCCCTATAGACACCCCCATTCTCCAGACCATCCTTGAGTATTTATAGGCACTTGCTCCTTTTAGACCTCCTCCCCTTTCAGGACCCCCTTGCCCCTCATCCTAATGGATTTCCCCATCTCTCCGGCCCCCACCCTTTCCATAGACCCTCCTCCATCTCCATAGACCCCCCCCATTCCTCCCCCCTCTGCTCCTTTTAGACCATACTCCTTCCATCCCCTATTAGACCCTTTTGGACCTTATATAACTATCCAAATCCACTCCCCCTTCGGGTCCGTATAGACTTCAGCCCTCCTGGGTCCCCCGGGCCTTAAAGACTCCCGGGTCCCCTCTGCTGGCCTGAATCCTTCCAAGCCTCCCAGCTGCGCCCCCTGCATCATGACCCCCTCGGGTGGGTGTTGTGGGGAGCTGAAGAGGAGCTATTTCTGGGGGGGAGTTCATTTGCCCCTGGGCAGTGGGGGTTTCAGTTCCTCCCCCCCATCCACGGGCAGGGATTGGCCGGGGGTAAAATGAGGGGAAGGGGGAGGGGGTCAGACCTTTCGTGAGGGGCGGTTGTACCTCCACCCCCCTAGATCGGAGGAACGTTTTGCAGGGATGGCTGTAGTCCCTTTGGGGGTACCGGTAGGGGGAACATGGTGCCAGTTGGGGGTGTTCTGTCGGTCTGCCCAATATCCAGCCCATCCTGGTTGCCATGGCAATGTGGTCCTGCTTCCCCCTTCCCATCTTTCAGTGTAGCCTGCCAGCCATCGCGCATGTGTCCCCCTCTCACTGGGCTAGAGGGGGATATTCTCCTCACCGGGGGGTAACTGAGGCATGGCTCGGGCCATTACAGTGTGCCCTCCCCCCCAAGGGCTGGCACCCACTATGTCCCCTGTCCCGGGGGCCACATGGGGAAGGCAGGGGTCAGGGCCCTGGGAACCCCCACTTTTCCCCTGGTGATGAGAAGATCCCCATTATTCTGGCCAGCATGTGGCCCTTGTTGCCTGAGGACATGGGGACATGGGGCTGTGGCAGGAGACAGCCAGGCCCTGCGCCCTTCCCAGGGCACACGTCCCACACGGCACCCTCTCCACGGCAGGATTAGGGTGGTGCTGGTCTCAGCCATGTCCCCAACCTGTTACGGGGATCTCCTCTGTGTGCCCTGACGCTGCCTTGACACCCCCCCCCCAACAAGGGAGGGGCTTGTCGGGCAGGGAACAGGCAGGGGATGTGCAGGGACATGGGTCCTGGAAGGGGGACAGGTGCTGATGGCACTTGAAGGGGCTGCAGGTGCTTCTGCCTGGCAGGGGCACGACCATGCCTTTCTCATGTCTGTCCCTGTCCCTGGGGTGTTGGTGGCTGCCAGCTTTCTATACTCACGGCTGGGTCCTGTGCCCGCTGTCACGGCCACTATCATCATCACCATCACCGCCACCACCACGGCCACTGCTGCCATCCGGGCCACCCCGATGCTGCGTGGCACCGAGCCCCCCCTCCAGCCTCTTCCCCCCAGCCACCCCCTGGTGCCCCCCACCAGCGCACCCAGAGCAGGGGTCCAGTGTATCAGGGCCCTCCCTCCACACCCCGTGTTGGGGTTCACCCCCCTGGTGCTGAGTCACTGTGGGTGCAGCCCCCTGACCTCGGGTGCTGAGTCATGGGTGGGAGCCAACCCCCGCCCACCCCCCAAGGTGCTTTGGGGCGTGCTGAGCCTGTCCCTCCCCAGGGGAGCTTTCTCTGTCGTCCGCCGCTGCGTCAAGCTCTGCACTGGCCATGAGTACGCTGCTAAGATCATCAATACCAAAAAGCTCTCAGCCAGAGGTAGGACCCCCAGGAACCCTGGGACTCCCTGAGACTCCCCTGGCACCCGAGGAGGTCACTCCCAGACATCCGTGGTAGCTGTTATAACCCCTGGTGCCTATGGCACCTCTGATACCCCTGGTGCCCATGACAGCCATGATATCTGTGGTACCCATGACACCTGTGACAGCTTGTGACCCCAGTAGTGCTGGTGACACCAGGTGCTGGTGGGGGGGAGGGGGTGAATGCTCCAGGAGGGGGTGGGGTCTGGCCCTGCCTGTCCCTGTTATCCCCCCTTCTGCCTCCCACGGGGCCCCTCAGAACTTCAGCTGTCCCTGAGGGGTGTCCTGCAGGTACGCAGGTGTAAGCGGATGCCCAGGTGTATACCCTGAGCTGCGTGTGCAGAGGTGTGTGCAATGTGTACATGGGGGTGTGTGTGATGCTGGGTGTGCACACATGAGCAGTGGGGGTACCTGAGTGTGTGCACAGGTGTGCGTTCATAGTGTTTGCTCATTTTTGTGTTCATGGTGTGTGTGCACACATGTGGGTGTGCACACACGTGTGAGCAGGAGGTGCCTGAGTTTATGTGCAGAGGTGTGTGTGTGTGTGCTTGGTGTGCACCTAGGTGTGAGCAGAGTGTGTGTCAGCGGGGCTGTGGGTGTGCACATGTCAGCACTGTGTGTGTGTGCTTACACATGAAGGTGGGCACTGCTGTGAGTGCACATCTGTGAGCAGAGTGGGTGCCTGTGGGCTGGGGTGGGGTGTGCTCAGCAGTTAAAGTGTACAGGTGTTTGCAGGTGTGGGATGCGTGACAGTGCAGGGGTGTAGATGTTTTGGATGTTCACCTGGATAAGAGGCAGTGTAGAGTGGCACAGGGTGTGTGTGTGTTCTGTGTGTGCACAGGTGTGTGTGTGTCTGTGGCTCTAGCTGTATGCACAGATGTAAGACATAAGTGGAGTAGTGCACACGTGTGTGTGAGCTGTGTGCACATCTGTGCACATGTCTGTGTTCACTTGTATGCAGACACATCCAGAGGTGCAGCTGCACACTCTGGTACACGTGTACACTCATACGTAGCTGTTGCAGGCACACACGTGTCAAGTTGCACACACACACAGCTACACGCACCTGCACGCACCTGCACACACCTGCACACACCTGCACATGCAGAAACTACCACACACAGGGGTACAGCTGCACGCTCCACATCACATACAAACGCAGGTACAGTGATGCACATGGGTGCAGCCACACAGACGTGTACACCTGTGCATACAAGTACAGCCACAGAGCTGTATGGCTGCTCACATAGGTACACAAAGTACAGCCACACCCACGTGTGTGCATAACTGCAGTGCATGGATCCCCACACACACCCATCACACCTGCACACCCACACACCTCTATACCCACACACAGGTACAGCCACATGTGCTTGCACCCATGTATACGTTTGTGCAGGCTCAGCCTCATACACGGGCACTCACATGAACATGTACACCTGTGCACACCTGCACTGTGTGTGCATGCCTGTATCCACATGCACACCCAACCCAGTGCCCATACATGCAAACCTGTACACACTTGCATATGTGCACACCCAGACACACGTGCACAAGCCCACAAACCCCCACCCCTGCCCCCAGTGCATACCTGCCCACCCCACAGAGCCACATGTGCTCCCACATGGGCATCTATGGCTCGTCTTGCTAGGGTTGGGCTGGGGACAGGTGATGGGGGGTGGAGGGGACAGGGCAGGTGCCCCCCTGACCACTGCCCCCACAGACCACCAGAAGCTGGAGCGCGAGGCGCGCATCTGCCGGCTGCTCAAGCACTCCAACATCGGTGAGTGACTGGGGACACCAGGGGAGTCTCACCACTGTGCACCTGCTTGGGGCCACCGTGGGACACCCTGAATGACACCCTGGGGATATGTTGGGTGTCCCTCTGGGGATATATGGGGTCCCATCTTGGGGTCCCTCTGGGTGCCACTTTTGGGACACTGGGTGTGGGTGTGTGGGCTGCATGTGACATAGACACACATGGGTGCCACATGTAGTGGCTGGGGAAGGGGGCCAGGGAGTATGTGGGGTCTGAGACTGAGCCTGTCCCTGTCCCCGTCTGGTCCCCACAGTGCGGCTCCACGACAGTATCTCCGAGGAGGGGTTTCATTACCTCGTCTTTGACCTGTGAGTGTGGCAGGAGGCTCCCAGACCTTCAGGAGGGGCTTAGGGGATTCTAGGGGCTCCCAAGGGTCTCAAGGTGATGTGGTGCTTGTGGTGTTTCAGGGTGACAGGTGGCGAGCTCTTTGAGGACATCGTGGCGCGGGAGTACTACAGTGAGGCTGATGCCAGGTGAGCCTTCACCGCTCCATGCACCCTCTAAAGCCCTGGACACCCCCAGCCACCCGTACCGTGCACCCTGGGAGGCCTGCAGGGATGGGGCAGCTCCAGCAAGGCAGGCAGGGGGGCACCCAGTGGGCGGGGAGGTGCACCCCCTTGGCCCCTGTGTTATTGTAACCCTTCCACTTGCTCCATCCTGCTCCTGGGTGGGGTGGGGACCCCCATATTCCACTTCCCACTCCATGCTCCCCCCTCTTCCGCTGAGTCCTGGCACTATCATGACCTGCGCTGGGGGGCTGGTGGCAAGTGGGGGGCCCCCAGGGCCCCTTCTGTGCTGTCCCGAGCCCTCCAGTGCCCTGTGTGCCGCCGTGTGCCCCTCCCCGTGGTCTCTGGGCTTTCACAACATTGTTTCTCCCCCTCTCTCGTTTCCCCCATCTCCGCCCCCCCCGTCCCTGTCCCCCTCGTGCCCCTCACCTCTTCCATCCATTCCCCCCACCCCTCTGTCCCTCTCGTCTCCCATCACACGTTGCTCGGGCTCTGTGTGTGTCCGTGTGTCCATCTGTGTGTCCTTCCGTCCCACTGCTGCCCTCTGCTCGCTGCCCCCCCAGCCCTTGCCCTCTGTTTTGCCTCCTACACCCATCCTTGCCCTTGAAATGCCCCTTACCCTCCCATCCTCCTCTCCTGCCTCTTTTTCCCACCCCTTTACGCCCAACCTGTCCCCACACCCTGCTCCCCTCTTCTTGCCTCCCACACCTTTACCTCATCCCACTCCGCCAAACTGCCCCCCACTCCCACCTCCTTTACCTCATCCTGCCCCCCCATCCTGCCCCAGTCTCCCACCCCCTACCCCTCCATCCTGCACCCCTTCATCCCATCCCGCCCCCCTCCCACACTCTTTACCCTATCCTGCCCCCATATCCTGACCCCTCTCCCACCCCTAACCCTCCATCCTGCCCCCCCGCCCCTGCCCCCCGTTCTGTTTTGCAGTCACTGTGTCCATGAGCTCTTTGCCCGCGTTCCTCCCACCCATCACTTTGCCCCTGAGCAGAGGGAGCCGCAGGTCAGTATCTGGGGGGGGCCGGGGGGGCCATTTCCCCCTCGCTGCCCCCACCCACCGCTGTCCCCGCTTCCCGGCCCCCCGCTCCACTCGTCAGGACCCTGCTGTGGGGCTTTCTCCTCACTCTTTTTTCTCCCTAACCCCCCCTTTTTTGGCCCCCCCTCACAGGGAGGTTGCCCCCCCTTAATACCACCGCTCCCCCAGCTAGGCGGGGCCCCCCTTCACCCCCATTTCAGGCTCTCATCCCCTCGCTCCTTCCCTCTTTCTTCCTTGTCTCGTCTCCATCCACCCCCCCGCAACATCCCCTGTTCCCCCCCTTTTCCCGTGAGTCCTGTCTGGGGGATCCCAGTGTCTGGGCGGCAGCAGGGATAGGGGGGCTCCCATGGGGGACAGGGAGTGGGCACAAAAACACCGTTGGGATGACCCCCATGCCTCTGTGCCAAGCTTGGAGCTCACCTGGTAGGCACTGAGGGGTGACCCCGAGGCAGTGACCATCCCCCCCAGGATGACCCCCAGGTAGTGACCCCCCCAAGGGATGATGTCACAGGTGTGACCCCTATTCAGTAACCCCCCTTGTTACGACAGAGGTGACCCCCAAGGGATGGACCCCCAAGGGATGACCCCTAGACAGCTCCCAGGGTTGATGACCCCCAGGAAGGAGTGACAACCTCAGAGATGACTCCACCCTCAGGCAGTGATATCCCCATAGGTGTCCCCTAGGCAAAGACCCACCCCAGCTGGGACTCTCCCCAAGGGTAATCCCTCTGGGTGACCTTCCCAGGTTGTGATCCCTCAGGAATCCCCCTAGGGGTGATGCCCCAAGGCTGAAGCCCCTGGCAGGGGTACAAAGGGGTTGCCATGCACAGCACCCACAAATCCCAGGTCGCCACTTGTTTTTGTCAGTGGAGCCCTAGCAGTGGGACAGGGGGTCTGGTTTGGAGATGAAGGTCATGGACAGGGGGTGTGGGAGGTGGGGGAGGAGCGTACCTCTGACCCCCCTCCCATTTGCATGCAGCCACTGCATCCAGCAGATCCTGGAGGCTGTCCTGCACTGTCACCAGATGGGGGTGGTCCACAGGGACCTCAAGGTAAGTGTGTCCCCCCAGCTCCCATCCATCCCTCTTCCCCTCACCCCCTGCCCAGTTCTTGGGGTCCCCACAACCTGGGCGTGGTCCTGGCCCAGTGGATTCTGGGGAGTCACTGAGATGGGCTTGGGGAATCCCCTCAGCTCTGAGCACTCCCATCTACCTTTTCTGGGGATGTGTCTCCCGGTTGTGGCACAGATCTGCACTGCTGGGGGGTCTCACTGCAACCCCCTCAGTTGCCATTGCCGCAGGGGGAGTGTGAACTGATGGGGATGGGGGCATGGGGGCGGGAGCAGCTGGAGCTTGACTGGGAGGGTCAGGGCAGGACACAAGGTGGTGATGGGTGGGACATGGAGGGATGGTGGAATACAGGGGGATGCTGGGGGAGGCCAGTGAGACACAGGATGACCCTGAGCTGGATATGGGGCTGTGCCATCCAGCACCCTCGGCCATTGGCAGAGGGCACCCATAGCCACAGCCCCACAGCATGGAACCGGCTGATGGTCAATGGCAGCAGAAAAGTCCCTCTTGCCCCATCCCTCCTCTCTGTTCCCACCCATGTCTGTGCCCGGTGCTGTCCATGCCTGGTGCTCCCTGTGCCTGGTGACTGCATAGCCGGAGAACCTGCTCCTGGCCAGCAAGTGCAAAGGGGCAGCAGTGAAGCTGGCGGACTTTGGCCTCGCTATCGAGGTGCAGGGGGATCAGCAGGCCTGGTTCGGTGAGTGCTGCTGCCCCCACTGCCCACCACAGCCCCAGCCCCTGCCCACTGTGTCCTGCTCACTGTGCCCCTGCGCGATGTTTGCTGTGTCTCCCTCCATGTCCACTGAGTCCCTGCTCCGTTCCTGCTGCATCTGCCTCGTGCCCACCACAGCCCTATCCCATACCCACCATGTCCATGCCTATGTGCCCACATTATCTTGCCCTGTGCCCACTATGTCCACCCCTGCCCAGCACATCCCTGCCTCATGCCCATGTCCCAGTCCTGTGTCCTGCACTGTATCCTGTCCTTGTCCCCTCCCATTGTGGCTCACCTGTGTCTCCTCACCCATCTCTCTGTCTCAGGATTTGCAGGCACACCTGGCTACCTGTCCCCCGAGGTCCTGCGCAAAGAGGCCTATGGCAAACCGGTGGACATCTGGGCATGTGGTAAGAGACAATCCCTGCCCAGTCCCTGCCCCTTCTCCACCCCCATCCCAGACCTGCACCTGGTCCCTACCTGAGCCCTGCCCTGTCCCTACCCCAGTCTCTGCCCTAATCCCAGCCTACCTCCTGCCCAATGCCAGCCCAATCCCATCCTAATCCCTGCCCCATCACTGCCCGATCATTCTGATCCCATCCCACTTCCATTCTGGCAGTTTCTGGGCTCCATTCTAGTCTTATCCCATTCCCATCCTAGTCTCACCATCTTTCCCATCCCATTTCTATGGAACAGTTCCTGTTCCAGCTCTGATCCCATCCTGGGGCCATCCTGTGCCATGTGCCCTGGCTGTCACACTGTCCCCTGTGCCATCCTGGCAGCACAGGGGACAGGCCATGTTGGGAGTAACTGCTTTGTCATGGGGACCCCACAGGGCCAGAGAGAACCAGGGGTGGTTTGGGGTCCCTGCATTCCCCTAACCCCACTCTCCCTGGCTCAGGGGTCATCCTGTACATCCTGCTGGTGGGCTACCCGCCGTTCTGGGACGAGGACCAGCACAAACTCTACCAACAAATCAAGGCCGGGGCCTACGATGTAAGTTCCCGGTGCCAGGACCCCACGCCCTGCAGCAGCTGGCCCATTGACTCTGGAACCTACTGAGGAATGCTACAGCTGATCTTTAGCAGGCAGAGCCTGGGGGTGGCTTTGGGCCATGTCTTTGGTGGCTGGCTGGAGATATGTAGGGATGTGGAGTGACACCGATGCTGTGGGGTTGCCCCTCCACAGCTGTCACCCCCGTCTCCCTGTGCTCCCCCAGTTCCCTTCACCTGAGTGGGACACAGTTACCCCCGAAGCGAAAAACCTCATCAATCAGATGCTGACCATCAACCCCGCCAAGCGTATCACAGCCCACGAGGCCCTCAAGCACCCGTGGGTCTGCGTAAGTGCAGCATGTCCCCAGTGTGTGTCACCCTGTTCCAGTGACCTCTGGCACCTGGTGCTGACCCCACTGTCCCCTGCAGCAACGTTCTACCGTGGCCTCCATGATGCACAGGCAGGAGACAGTGGAGTGCTTGAAAAAGTTCAATGCCCGGAGGAAGCTCAAGGTGAGGGGGCTGGTGGAGGAGGTGTGGGCTGTAGACAGTGCTTATCCTATCAGCACCACCCTGCCTCTCCACTGGGCTCTCCTGTGGGATCCTCCTCTGCCCGCTGTGGGACCCCTCCCTTGCCCACTCTGGCAGCACCTGGTATGGCATGTTCCCACCCCAGCATCCATCAGGGCCTTCCTGTGCCCTTCCATGGGGTACAGTCCCTTCCTCCACTCCGGTGTTCCTGGTGCTCTGCTGCAGGCACATCCCAGTGACACACAGTGCGTCACGGTCCCACCTTGTCCCTGCCCAGTATCTTGCCCCATGCCATGGCTCTAGCCTACCCCTGTCCAGCTGCACCCCAGAATCTACACTTTTATCCCACTGCCTGGTCCCATGGCTACATCCTGCCCCCTCGTCCTGTTAAACCCCTCTCCCACTTCCCAGTCCCATGGGCCCCACCCTGTACCACCCCCATCCCATCACCTCATTTCTCCCCGCGCCCCCAGGGCCCCATCCTGCCTGTCCAGCCCAGCACCCTCTCCCTGGCTCACCCTGCCTCTTCCCGCAGGGTGCCATCCTCACCACCATGTTGGCCACCAGGAACTTCTCAGGTAAGGGGGGGCTCCCACTGGCCGGGGGGGCCGGGGGCTGCAGCCCCCCCTCCATAGCCCCCCCCCGGGCCGGTGCCCCCCTCTCTCTATCTCGCTGTCTTTCTCTCTTTCTCCCCTCCCTTCCTTAACCCCCCCACCCATTTTTTCCCCATCGGTGAGGACGGGGCATGTGGTAGCCAAGGTGGGGGCAGGACCCGGCCCCCCCGCCCCAAGCACACAGCAGCAGGTAGTGCCCGGTCCCCGCGTGTCCCCCCCCACTCCGGTGGCTGCCGGGGGGGCGACACGGGGAGAGGGACGGAACAGCACCAGCCACCCCAGGCCTGAGGCCAGGGTGATGGGCACCCCAAGAGTTCTTGCTGGGGGGGGGGGGGGGAAGGTGGGGGTCCCGGCTGCAGCCCCTCCCCGTCCCCCCTAACAGGAGCTCTGCTCCCTCTCTCTCTCTCTCGTGGCCCGCAGTGGGCAGACAGACCACCGCTCCTCCCACCATGTCGGCGGCCGCTGCCGGGGCCCCCCTGGGGCTGGTGGAACAAGGTAGACGCGTCCGCAAAGGGCCCCCCCCGGCCCCCCGGCCCCGCTTGGTCTCTGTGTGTCCCCAGATCCTTCATCCCCATGTCACCCTCTTCTCCCAACCATCCTCTTCCCTGCCTCCCGCCTCCCCAACGGGTTTCGGGTACCCTCCTCGGAAATTGGAGCGCATGCATGGCCCCCCCGGCACTGCCGCCCCCGCAGCCCTCCAGCCTCTCCCCATCCCCGCTGGTACCAAGGAATGCCGCTGTCCCCCCTGCTGCCATCCCGCAGCTGGCCCCGGGGAGAGGTCTCTGCACCAGCCCCTACCCCCAAGGCGGGGCTGCTGGGTGCTTGACCCTGGGCCACTTGGTTCCTAGAACGGGACACATTGGTGGCATCCCCAGGGTGCCCATCTGGGTCAACGATGGGGAGCTAGGGGCGGGGAGATAATTTTATGGTGTGTTCCCCCACCGCTCCCACCCCACGGCACTGCCCCCCTCATGCACATAGGGGGGGCACACCGGTGCATGGAAGGGGGGACAACGGGCTGCATGTCCTATGTCCCCCTGTGCCCCCCCTGCGTCCCCACCCTGCATGTGCCCCCCTCGCATGTGTCTCCCCCCGGGACGCCCCCCCCCCAGCATGTGCCTCCCCACAGCTTCTGAGAGCTGCAGCCAGTGTTTGTGAGCCGCGAAACACTCGGCGGGTCTTAAACCATCCCCCCACACAAAGGGCTACCACTGGCCCCCCTGCCAGGGGTCCCCCTCTCCCGCCCCCCAATTTGGCTCTGGTTTAAACCCCCACCTCTCAGCGCCCGCCTGCTTTCAGAGGAGGGACCGGGACCCTTGGGTTCACCCTGCTAGGGACTCCTGAGGAGACATAGGTCCACGGGGGAGGGATGTGTGGGTCATCTCCTGCTCCCCACATCTGCCCGCCCCCTCCTTTGGTGCTGATGGGTGCCGCTTTGCTGTCACTGGACTTGTCACCGTACATCCCCCCTCAACTTGTGATGCCAGCCGGGGGAGGGGTCCCTCAGTGTGGAAGAATGACAAGGATGCTCGAGGTGACATTCCCTGCCCTCCACACCCCCACAACCACTTGTCCCCATCACCCCCTATTCTCCTACTGGCCAGAGATCGTGGTAGCAGTGACAGATGCTCATACCGGTGCCTGTCCTTGTCCCCCTCCAGGGAGACAGGGGGGGCACAGGCAGCTGTCCCCACCCTCTGTACTCAACTCATCTTTTTTATGTTCTTTTTTTATGTTTTTCCCCTTTTCCTCCTTTCCCCCCTTCTCCGTTTCTCTCTTGCCCCCCTCCCAACTCCTCTCTCTCGCTTTCCTCTCTGCATTTCTCCAAGGTAAGCCAGCCCTGCCCCGTCAACGCAGGGGCCACCAGGATGGGGACCCCCTTAGGTTGGGGGCACCTCCTTCCCCCAGTCTGAGGACCCACTGAGTTTGGGGAGCTCTCCCTCCAGAATGGGGACACCCTGCCTGGATGGGGATCTTCATAGGTTCAGGACATCCCTCCCAGGATGGGAAGCGCCCCCCAAGGCTGGGGACCCCCCTGAGTTTGGGAACCTTCCGCTAGGATGGGAACACCCACCAGGATGGGGATGGCCCCACAAGACTGGGGGAAGCCCTCCCTGGTTGGGGACACTCTCTTCCCCCAGGATGGGGTCCTTCCTGAGGCTGGGGACTCCTTCAGGTTGGGGACACCTCTCCCAGCATGGAGAACCCCCCCAAAATGGGGATTCCCTAGGATGGGGACACCCCACTCAGCATGGGGACTCCCTCCAGTAAGGGAACATCCCCAGGATGAGGATACCCCGACCAGCATGGGGTTACCCCTCAAAATGGAGACCCCCTTAGAATGGGGACACCCCTCCCGACATGGGGACCACCCCTCCAAAATGGGGACCTCCTCCAGGATGGGGACACCACCTTCCTTGTGTGTTCCCCCTCTTCGACACAGGTGTTGCCAGCACCCAGGGTGGGATCAGGTTGGGTGGCTGGGAAGGGCCTGAGTTTGGGGGTGTCCCTTGTGCTGGGGGGGAGCACTGACACTGTCTCCCCCCGCAGCAGCTAAGAGCTTACTGAACAAGAAGGCGGATGGTGTGAAGGTGAGGGGCCAGAGGGGCTGGGGGGAAGCCGGGGTGGGCTGCTCCCCACTCTGTGCCACTGAGCCCCTTCCATCTCTCCCTTCCAGCCCCAGACCAACAGCACCAAAGGCAGTGCCGGTGTCACCAGCCCCAAGGGGACCCTCCCGCCCACTGCTCTGGTAGGTGCCCCCTACCCTGCAGCCCCCAGATCCCCCATCCCATCGGATCCATCCCACCAGCCCATCCCATCCATCACCGCGCGCGCCCCTGACCGGCTGTTCCTGGGCTCGCTGGGGAGGGAGTGTCCCAAAGGTGGAAAGGGGTGTGCAGGACAGGGGCACAGGGTCACCCCACTGGACAGACAAGGTGGGTGAAGGGTGCAGGCATGTGGACAGCCCCGCGTCTCCCTCAGCCATTGGGACAGTGACATGGGTGCAGGACACAGTCATGCAGGTGTCCCACCATAGGGACAAGGTAGGTCCAGGACACAAAGATATACCTGTCATGGGGACAGCAAGGTGGGTGCAGGATGTAGGCATGAGGATGTCCTGTGACCTGGGGACCAAGGTGGGTACAGGACATGAAAATGGGGGTGCCCCACCATAGGAATAAAGTGGATGCAGGGTACAGGCATCGATGCCCCGTAATGGGGACAAGCCACAGACAGGAGGATCCTGGTGACACGGATGGCGAGGTGGGTGAAGGGTTGGGGGACAGGGACACCCTGCGATGCCAATGGCAAGGCAGGTGCAGGATTACAAGGATGGGGCTGCTGACTGTGACCTCGCAAGTGAGGTAAGTACAGGATCCAGACACTGCCCAGATGGCACAGGGAGTGCAGGACACGAAAGGCATGTCTAGAACAGCAGGTGAAGGATTTGGGGGTCTGTCCTCTGGCAATGCCAACAGCAGGATAGGTGCAGGATATGGGTGCAGGGATGCCCCTTGTGACCTTTATGGTACAAGGGGTGCAGCACGAGGGCAGAGGGCATGGTACCATGAGGATAGGATACAGGCAGGGTGATGCCCAGCTGGCACAGAGTGCTGTGTACTGGGGAAGGTGTGCCTTGCTGGTTGGTGAGTGCAGGATATGGAGAAAGCGGTGCCTACCCCACACAGTGAGGGTGAGATGCAAGCAGCGGGAAGCTGTGGATGTGGGTGCTCGAGATGTGGGCACCGGGGTGGTCACGATCCGGACACAGAGACGGTTGGGATGCAGGCAGTGGGATAGTTGAAGTGCAGGCACAGGGATGGTCTGGGTGCAAACTGAGGGATGTGCAAGGATATGGGCAGCACTCTCGATGCACTCAGCAGGATGGTTGGGATTCAGGCACAGGGATGCCTGGGATGCTCACATGCAAGGTGAGTGGAGCCCCTGGGCACTGGGATGCAGGACAGGGTCATGGAGCTGCCTCCTAGCCCAGCCCATCCTTTTGGCCTCACTGCGTCTCTCCCCACCTCTTTCCCCCCTTTCTTCCCCCTCCACGTCTGTGAATTAAACCATTTGGCTTTGCTGGACTAATGACTTTCTGCTTCTCTCCCCCCTCTCTATCCCCTTCCCAAATCTGGTCTGGGTCTCTCCTCGCCCCTGTCCACGTGCTGCTCAATCCGTCGTCCCCCCTCGTTGTCCCCTCCGGGCTCTCACTTCCCCCCCACCCCCGCGTCTGTCTCTCTCCCTTCTCCCATAGGAGCCTCAAACTACTGTAATTCATAACCCCGCGGACGGCGCCAAGGTATCGCTGCCCCTGCTTTCCGCCTCCATCCTCCCCCCAGCATCAGCCATGTCGCGGGGGGGGTGACGTGGATGAGGAGTGCGCATGGGGCGCGATGACAGCGGGGTCCCCCCGTGGTGTCCAGCGTCGTTGGGGTCCTGCCAAGCCCTGGTGGGCTTGTCCCCCCTCCCTGTCCCCCTGGGACCAGGTCTGACCCCCCTGTTTGTGTCTCCCCCCCACCGCCGCCGTCCCGTGAGCAGGAGTCCTCCGACAGCACCAACACCACCATTGAAGACGAGGACACCAAAGGTGACGGGCGCAGGGGGCGGCAGGGCTGCACTGGGATGCACTGGGGTGGTGCTAGGTTGCATTGGGTTGCACTGGAATGGCACTGGGGTGCACTGGGAGGGTCTTGGAATGTACTGGGATGGCTCTAGGATGGCACCAGTATGCATTGGGGTGCACTGGAATGGTACTGGGATGAACTGGGATGGCTTCAGGATGCACTGGGATGGCACTGTGATGGACAGTTGTGGAATGCACTATGATGGCACTAGGATGCATTGGGAGTGTGCTAGAATGCACTGGGGTGGAGCTGGGACGTGCTGGGATGTACTGGGATAATACTAAGAGGCACTGGGGTGCACTGGAATGGCACTGGGATGGCACTGGCATAGCACCAGAATGCATTTGGTTCGCTGGGATGCACTGGAGCAGCACTGAAATACACTGAGATGGAGCCGGGATGGCATGAGGATGCATTGGGGTACACTGAAATGGCACTAGGATACACTGGGACAGTGATGGGATGCACTGGAATGCACTGGGTTGGCACTAGGATGCCTTGGATTGCACTGGAATTGCACTGGGGTGGAACTAGCATGGCATCAAGATGCAGTTGGTGCACTGTGATGTGCTGGGGCAGCACTGGAATGCACTGGGTGGAATTTGGGATGGCAACAGGATGCTTTGGGATGGCACTGGGATTCACTGGGGTACACTGGAATGGCACAGAGTTGGCATCAGGATGAACTGAGGTTGTACTGGGACATTTCTGGGATGCACTGGGAGTATTCAAATTCACTGGAATGCATCTGGGGTGTGCTAGGCTGCAACTGGGCTGACACTAAGATTCATTGAGATGGCACCAGGATGCACTGGGAACACACTGGGATGCACTGAGAGGGTACTAGGATGTGTTGGGGTGCACTTGGATGAAAATGGAATAGACTGGGACATGCTGGAATGGCACTGGAATGGTAACTGGGGTTCATTGAAAAGGCACTGGGGTGGCATCAGGATGCACTGCAGTGATACTGGGACATGATGGGGTGGTACCAAGAGGTGCTCTGGATAGAACTGGGCTGTACTGGGATGTATTGGGATGCCCTGGAATAGCAGTGAGACAGACTGTGTTGGCACTGAGATGTAGTGAGGACTCACTGACACAAACTGGAGTATACTGTTATACTCTGGAATAGTACTGGGCCATACTGGGATGGAAATGGGCTGTGTTGGAATGCACAGAAGTGGCACCAGGATTCACTAGGAAGGCATAGGAGTGACACTGAGATGCACTGAGACAAACTGGGATATAGAGGAGTGGCACTAAGGTAGTTGGGACACAGTGGGGAGATGAAAGAATGGACTGGGGAGCACTGGGATACAGAAGGATGGTACTAAGATTAATTGAGATGCACTGGAGTGGGAGTGGGATGTACTGGATGGAACTGGGGTATACTGGGAAGCAGTAGAATGGTACTGTGATGCACTGGAGTGGTACTGGGATGTATTGGGGTACACTAGAATTACACTGGGATACAGGAGACTGGCACAGAGATGCAGTGTGATGTTACTGGAATGCACCATGGAGTGTATAGTATGCTCTGAAATAGCATTGGGAGATATTGGGATGGAACTGAGCTCTTTTGGAATGCACTGAAGTGGCACTGGGTTGCACTCGGATGAAACTGGGTGACTGGGATGGCATCAGCATGAAATGAGTCATTGGGATATAGTGTGATGGGCTACCCTGGAATTTTACTGGACCACACTGCAATTGCGCTGGCAGACGCCAGAATTCAACAGCATGATACTGGGATGCACTAGGATGGAACTGGGGTGAACTGGAATGTAGTAGAAGGGCACTGGGACACAGTAGGTTGGCACTGGGTTGCACTGAAATGCAGTGGGATGGCCCTGAGATGTACTGGTATAAACTGGAGTGTATTGGGATGCCCTGGAATGGTATTGGAACACCCTGGGATGTGAATGAGATGTAGTGAAATGGCACTGGAATGGCACTAGAATGTACTGGGCTGTCTCTGGAATGCAGTAGGATTGCACTGGGAGGGAACTGGGGTGTATTGGAATGCACTGGGCTGGCACTGGGATGCACTAGGAAGCAATAGGATGGCACTGAGATGCATCAGAGGACGCTGGAGCAGCTCTGGGATGCGCTAGGATTGCACTGGGATGTATTGGGATGCACTCGCATGGTGGTGGAAGGGTACTGGGATGCACTGAAATGGCACTGAGACACAGTGGGATGGCACTGGGAAACTCTGGTATGGAACTGGCTGGTGTAGGATGTGCTAGAATGCCACTGGGATATACTGGGACTTGCAGGAGTAATGCTGGGATGCACTTGGAACTACTGGGAATGCTGAGCAGGCACTGGGATGCTTGAGCATGCTGGGAAGGCACTGGGATGGCACTGGGACATGCAGGGGTGGCACTGATCTAGCAATGAGACAAGCTGAGAGGAATACTGGTGTGGCAGAGCTGTGGGGGTCCTGGGCGCACAGGGGTCCCTATCTATCCCCAAGGGCCTTCTGTCCCCAAGGGGTGTCTGTCTGTCCCCGTGTTTTCTGTGTCTGTCCTCAAGGTCCCTGTGTCTGTCGATGTGGTCTGTCTGTCCCCAAGGTCCCTGTGTTTGTTCGCATAGTCCATCCCCATCGTCTGTCTGTCCCTGTGTCTGTCCCCATGCCTCCCCTTCATGTCCCATGTCCATCCCAACATCCCGTCCACCCACCCCCACGGTGCCACCGGGGGGCTGGGGCGGTGGTGGTGACAGTGACGTGCCCTCAGCCCGCAAGCAGGAGATCATCAAAATCACGGAACAGCTCATCGAGGCCGTCAACAACGGGGACTTCGAGGCCTACGCGTGAGTGGGGCAGGGCCAGGCGGGGCGGGGCGGGGTGGGGCCAGGCGGGGCCACTCTCACCTGCTGCCTGCAGGAAGATCTGCGATCCGGGGCTCACCTCCTTTGAGCCCGAGGCACTGGGCAACCTGGTGGAGGGGATGGACTTCCACCGCTTCTACTTCGAGAATTGTGAGTACCCGACCTGCCTGTGCCACCTGCTCGTCTTGCCTGCCCTGTCCATCCTCTCCCTCTCCAGCCCAACCGGATCCATCCTGTCTCCCTGCCTGTCTCCTTCACTGTTCCCTGTCTCTTGCCCACTGCCTGCCCATCCTGGTCACCTTGCCTGCCTGTCCCCAGCCCTCCCCTGCTGAGCTATCCTGAGCACTGCCACCATCCCTGCCCCTTACCTTTCCTCACCCATTCCCTGCCCTTCTCCCTGCCCTTTCCCCGCCCTGTCCGTGCGCATCCCCCTGCCCGTGCCAGCCCCGCTGACCTCGGCCGCTCCTCAGTGCTCTCCAAGAATAACAAGCCGATCCACACGACCATCCTGAACCCGCACGTGCACGTCATCGGGGAGGACGCTGCTTGCATCGCCTACATCCGCCTCACCCAGTACATCGACGCGCAGGGCCGGCCCCGCACCAGTCAGTCCGAGGAGACCCGCGTCTGGCACCGCCGCGATGGCAAGTGGCAGAACGTCCACTTCCACGGTTCGGGGGCCCCCGTCGCCCCGCTGCAGTGAAGGTGAGGGTGGGCTTGGGGCTCGGGGGCACGGAGAGCCCTTGTTGTGGCTCACCAGGGTGTCCCCACAGAGCTTGCGGTGGCTGTCCTGGTTCCAGCCCGATGGAGACGGCGATGGGAGCCGAGGCGGCAGCCGGAGCTGCGGCCCCCCAAGCACGCGTCCGCATGCCTGTCCCCCCTACCCTGGCCCCTGCTCCCCCCTCCAGTGCCTGTGTTTGCAGAAAACAAAAAGACAAAAAAAAAAAAAAAGAAAAAGAAAAAAAAAAAGCCAAAACGATGAAGACAACAAAAAAAAAAGGAAAAAAAAAAAGGGGGAAACACACCGCAACCCCACCCACACCCCCAAACCCAACCCAGCCGCTCAGCCACAGGTGAGGGCGCTGGGGGGCTCAGTCCCCCCCTTGGCCCGTCTCTGCTGGGGGGGAAGGGGGGTCCCGGCCCCCCTCCCGGCTGTGCTCGTGGCGTGTTGCTGTCGCTGGTGGTGGATGTTGTTCTTTGGGCTCCGCTTTGCTCTGTCCTGCCCCAGCCCCTGTACATAGAGAGAGCTATTTATTTTTGAATTCCCACAGGGGTTCCCAGCAACAGGGAGCTGCCAGGGGGTGAGTGAGGTGAGGGGGACACACACAGACTCTCTCTCCCCTCATTCCCAGTCCAGTGCCTCCCCTGGGAGTGCTGCCTATGGGGGCCTGAGGCTGATCCTGGGCACTGCTGCGCAGGGAACATAGCGGGTGCCTCTGGGAGGGTCCACCAGTCACATCCCCGTGTTCCCACCCTGCTGATCCCCACCCCTGCACCCCATGTCACAGCTGCCAGCTCCAGGTGCTGGCAGGCTTTGGCAGGGGGGATATGGGTGCCGTGTTAGGGGGCAGAGGGCAGCTGGGGGCTGTTGGGGTTCGGGGTGGGGGGCTCAGGACGATCCAGCCAGCACTGACGCAGCATCGAAAGCACTTTAGACTAAGAGAATGGGTCTCTTAGGGGGCACAGGCTGCTCCGCCGGGGACCCCCCAGCACAGGGGCACCGGCAGCACATCCTGAACCCCCCCTCCCATGGCCAGCGCTCGGGGGGACCCCATCACTCCCAAACCCCCATCCCTGGGGAGGCATCACTCCACTCCCAGGCACTCCCCACACGATTCCCCAGGGCATCCCCACCATGCTGAGGGCTGGTTTTGGCTGGGGGGAGGGGGTGGGACGGGCGGGGGATATTAATTATTTTTTAATTATTCTGATGATTTCTCTGCATGCCCTTTGCGCGGGAGCAACCCTCGGGCGCTAAACGCTGTATGTTGAGGAGCTGAGCTGTTCCTGTCCCATGAATGCTGGTGGATCGTTGCCAAATTTTTCTCTTTCCTCCCCTTTTCTCTCATTCTTTTTCTGTCTCCCTCTCTCCAGCATATCCCCCCGTGCCCCTCCCCCAAAAAACCCTTTGTCTTTTCTTTCTGAGCCTTGTAAGTGTAAAAGATGACTCTGATTTCGTTTTTGTCTCGGGAAAACCGCAAATAAATTATGAGGAAAAACCAATGATCATTAAAGTAAGAGGTGGAGAGGGAAGGCCAAAGCCTTCATCCCTGCTGGGGTGCCCAGGACAGGTCTGTCTGAAATGCCACCCCAGGACGCCGCAGAAAGGGAGGGAACAGGGCTCCAACTGCCAAAGATGACTTTATCCCCCTGGCCAATGCAGCCAGGGCATGGGAACAACTGGAGCACTGTACGGTACAGCCTAAGCCCAACTTTTCCCTTCCTGAGGAGGAAGAGAAGGCAGTGAGGGCTGCTGGGCCCTGGCAGGTGCTGAGCCCCACAGCCTGGCTGGTGGGAGCAGGGGAGGGGCTCTGAGGTGCAGCGCAGGCTGGTGAACTCCCCGTCTCCCCTAGCACCAGGACACAGCTCTGGGCTCACCAGCGTGGGGAGAAGCTGCCCAGGGAGGCAGTGAGCACCCCCCACCCAAGAAACCTTTTTCCCTTTCCCCCCCCCCCCCCCCAGCTTACCCTTAGGACACAAATACATAAAAGCCTCCCAGCCCCTGGGATGGCAGCAGGGGGCTCTGCCTGCCCCCTCAGCCCCTGGACAGCAGTGGGGGGCTCCTCCAGGCTCCCCGGGGGGTGTGAAGGCAGGGGAGCGCATGGCTGGATGCCCTCTGGTCCAAGCTATCCCAGAACAGTGAGAGTGGAGGGTGTCTTCAGTGTGGACCTCCCTCCATGGGTGCCAGTCCGGTGCCAGTATTGGTGTTCCCTCAAAGTGAACAACAGTCACATCAGCCCAGGGGGCTGAGGATCCCTGGCCCAGCCCCAGGAAAACCCCTGAGGGTGGCTGTGGAGGGGGCAGAGGGCTGGTGGTCCGGAGGTGGAGACGCCGGGCTCCACATCACATGATTTCACAGCAGGAATTCTGCTTTCGGGCCTAAGAAGAGAAGGAAAACCATCTGTAAAGCCCCCCAAAGGTTTGGGGGTCTCAGGGCCACCCACCTGAGGCCCCACACAGCCTCTCTCCTGCCAGAGTAGGCTAGCATAGCATAAAGGTTGATGACCCAGAGGCTCCTTTCCTTTTGGCCAGAGCTGGTGCCAGGAGCTGAGATGGGCATCACCCCTCACCCCAGGACAGGGTGCAGGACACCCCCAGCGAGGGGCTGGGGGGCTCTGCAGCTGGAAATGGGGTGCCAGGCTCTCTCCAGGCCCAAAGCCTGCAGCAACAGGGGTGATCCCTTGCCTGGCACCCAGAGCTGTGCCCCAGGGTTCATCCATCGGGGATGATCCCCCAAGGATGACACTCCACCCATTCCCACCTCCCTCAGGAAGAGGGTGGTCCCTCCATACCCACCGTTTTGTAGAAGGCTTTGGATTGTGCCCCCAACACCTCCGATTTGGAGACCAGGTCGTCCAGCTTCTCCCCACGCTCCAGCAGTGATTCCATAGTGTTGTGCTGCCAGGGAAATGTGGACTGAGCCCCAGCACCCCCCCCCCCACACCACTCTCATCCCACCATCTCTCATCCCACCTTCCTACAGCCCCCACAGCTCTGCAGCTCCAAGGGAGATGGGACCTTGGCTGGGGGCAGGAGCAGCAGAGTTCCCACAGGGTCAGTAGACAGAGGAGGCTGGCATTTGGAGGAGGGCTAAGAGCTCTGGTGCTTGTGTCCAGCCAGCTGGGAAAAGCCCAAGGAGGAAAAAGGGCAAGGGAAAAAGGGAAAGAGAAAAGGAAGCTCCCACACCAGGGAGGTCTCCGGGGAATGGCCTGGGGTGACTCTACCCTACCTCACAGCATGCCCCCAGGGCCCCCACTGGCTTGTGCAGACAGGAGCATCCCTGCAGCCTCACCAGGATGATTTTGGTCTCGTCCAGTTCTGCCTGCACTCGGGTCATCGGGTCAGCATCCCGGGGGTTCTGGGGAGAAACCACATGGCACTGGCACCACCACAGGGACACAAGGGTCCCCTGGCTCTGGGGTCCCAGCATGTGCCAGTGCTGCCCATATCCCCTGCCATTTTCAGGGCCGCAGGAACCCTCTGTCCTGGTGCCCTGCAGGGTCCCAGAGGTCTGTACCTGGTATTTGCTGAGGTATCCATCCAAGGCAGAGTAGCTGATGGTGGCAGGTGACCCTGAGGGCCAGTCCATCTTGCTGACCTGCCTGGAGAACTCATCCAGCACCTGCCAGGTGAGGAAGCAGCAGTTATCCCCTGGAGCCACTGCTGTGGGGCCACAGTGGCTGAAGGGGTTTTGCTCATCAAAACAGAAGATCTGGAGATTTTTGGGAAGGGACCTTACAGCTCATCCACAACCCTGCCATGGGCAGGGACACCTTCCACTACACCAGGCTGCTCCAAGTCCTGCCCAAACTGGCCTTGACTTCCAGAGATGGGGCAGCCATAGCTTTCTTGGGAAACCTGTGTCAATCCCTACCACCCTACAGGGAAGGACTTCTTCCCAATATCTCATCTAACCCTGCCCTCTGGCAGTGGGAAGACATTCCTCATTGTCCTGTCACTCCAGGCCCTTGTCCCAAGCCCCTCTCCAGCTCTCTTGGAGCCCCTTTAGGTACTGGAAGAGGGTCTGGGGTATCCCTGGAGCCTTTTCTTCTCTAGGCTGGACAACCCAGGTCTCCCATCTTGTCTCCCTGGCAGTTGCTGGCAAACTGCCAGTGGAGAAGGACCTGGAGGTGCTGGTGGCAGTGGCTGGACATGAGACCAGGTATACCTAGTTGGCCCCTGGCCTGTACCTGCCATAGTGTGGCCACATGTCCAGGGCAGTGCCATCCTCTGTGCTGACACCGCTGAGGCCCCTTGAGTGCTGTGTCCAGCTCTAGGCCCCTCATGGCAAGAAGGACACTGAGGGGCTGGAGCATGTCCAGATACAGGAACGGAGCTGGGGAAGAGGTTGGAGCCCCAGGAGTGGCTGAGGGAGCTGGGAAAGGGGCTCAGCCTGGACAAAAGGGGGATCGGGGGGACCTTCTGGCTCTACACAACTCCCTGATAGGAGGGGGCAGCCACGGGAGGTCGGGCTCTGCTCTCAGGGAACAGGGACAGGAGGAGGGGGAACGGCCTCAGGCTGGGCCAGAGGAGGTTCAGGTTGGGTACTGGGAAAATTCCATAATGGAAAAGGTTGTCCAGGCTGCCCAGGGCAGTGGTGGAATCCCTGGAACATGTGAACATGGCACTTGGGGACATGGTTATAGGTGGCATTGACCATGTTGGGGGAATGGTTGGACTCGATGCTCTTGGAGGGCTTTTCCAACCCAAACAATTCCACGATTCTATGAGAGGTGCTCCTGCCCTCTGACCACCCTCCTCCTCTGCCTCCACCCCTTTTGAATGAGCTGAGGACAGAGACATAAATAGTCTTGGCAAACAAGGACCAGAGCAATGCCCAGGCTGAGGTGGTCAGTCCTGACTGTCCAAAAAGCCTGCGTGTGCTAGGGCAGGGAGACTGGAGGAGCCTTCTGGAGCAGCTCCCAGCACACACCCTCACCTTGTCCAGCAAGGTGAAACAAACTCGCTGTGGATATTCATTGTCTGCGATCACTACTCCGGCAAGCCCATCGCTCCGGACATACACATGGCACAGGTACTCTGAGAAGGAAATTGCTGTCAGAAAGGCAGCAAAGGTCTCCAGCCAGCCCCCCAGTTCCCCCCTCCCCCAAACCCCCCTGGAAGGCATCATCAGCACCTGCATTTTTCATTAGTTCATTAGGTAAGTAGGAAGGACTTAAAATTTGGGGCTCAGCCTCAAATTGTGCTGTGGCAGGGGCCCATAGCCATGCCACACAGTGTGGGACACGAAACTGACATCCCAAGGTAGCCAGAGGTAAATAAGAACCAGTGGGGGAAGAGCTCAGCCTGATTTTAACTAATTTTAATTAATAACAAGGCTGGGGTGTCATTAAAGAGGATCCAGCAGCCAATCCAGGCTGCGTCTCACATGTTCTGGGGCTTGGGAGACGTGAAGCAGAACAGGGAGGCTGATATGAGGTGAGAATTTGGGATATGGAGCCTGGACTTGCATGGCAAAGCTGGCACAGCCACTCAGCAGTGGGGTGGTCTGGAAGTTGAGGGGCTGCAAGCCAACAGCTCCAGGGGTCCCAAGGGACAGTGCAGACACTGGAGCAGGTCCCTGCAGAACCTCTGCTACCCCAGGCCAGGCTCACACCCGGCTCAGCAGCTCCCACCCAGGCCCAGGGTTTGGTGACTTTTCCCAGGAGTGGGGCTGGGGGAAGCTCTCACCTTGCTCCTTGACCGAGGCCCTGCTGCCCAGCGCCGAGCGCTCCGCGATCAGCTGGCTTGTGAACGTCATGAACTCCTGCACACTGCGAGGACACAGCGCCAGGCTGGGGGCAGTGCTGGGGACAATAGCTGCCCCACAGCTCCCCAGGGCAACAAACCCTTCCCCTCCACCCCCCATGTCGGGGCAATGGGGCTGCAACTGATGGTGAGTTTTCCTTGGGGAGCAAGCTGGACCCTGAACCTGAGGAGTGGCAACCCTCAAACAGACACCTCCAGCCACCGCCCAGACCAAGGGGAGCATCCAGAGCCCTCAAGCTGCAGTGACAGACTTGTGTCCTTGAGCTGAACTTCCTTCCTGGGGATTTAGAAGAAAGCAAAAATGCCATTGAAACTGGCTCTGCCTGGCCAACATCTGGACCAGCTCCATCTTGGAATCATGGAATGATTTGGATTGGAAGACCATCCTGTTCCACCCCCTGCTGACATCTTCCACTAGAATAACAGAATCATAAAACATGCTGAATCAGAAGGGACCCATCAAGATCATGGCGTCCAACCCCTGGCTCTGTACAGAACACCCCAACCATCCCACTCTGTCCCTGAGAGCACTGTCCAAACACTTCTTGAACTGAGGCTTCATGCTGTGACCACTACCCTGGAGAGCCTGCTCAGTGCCTAAACACCCTTTGAGGGAAAAAAACATTTTTCTGATATCCAGCCCAACCTTCCCCTGACACAGCTCCAGCCAATTCCTCAGGTCCTGTCACTGGTCACAGAGAGCAGAGACAGGAGCTGCTTCTCTGCTGCCCCTTGGGAGAATGTCGAGGAGCACAGTGAGGTCTCCCCTCAGTCCCCTCTGGCAAGATACACCAAATGCCTTCAGATATTCCTCGTATGGGGCCTCCAGACCCTTTCCCATCCTTGTGGCCTCCTTTGGATGCTCTCCAACGCCTTAATGTCTTTTTTTGATATTGTCGTGCCCAAAACTGCCCCAGGACTTGAGGTGAGTCCCCTCTAAGTGCAGGGCAGAGCAGGACAATCCCTCCCTGGCCAATGCCAGGACAGGGATGTCATCTCAGATGCCAGGGCACTGCTGACTCAAGTCCCAGAGCCTGAGGCAGCTCTGTAGGTAGGGTCTTACCTGAGTGAGTCACAGTGGCACAACTCCCCCTGCCCACGCTGGGGATGAGCTCAGGACAGGGACACCCTCCCAATCCCAGGGGGATGTTTGACGCCCCAGGCACCCAGCCACCACTGTGAGTCAAAGTTAAAGAATATCCCTAAGCCAGACTTGCTCTAAGTTTGGAAAACATTCCTGAGCCCAGGCTCAGGCCCGTCCAACAGGCTCCTCAGTGATCCCTTGTCAACCCACAGCAAAGGAAAAGAGGCCAAAAATAATGAGCAGAAGTAAAATAAACCTGTTTCCAAAACACCACATCCTGGGCATGCTGGGATTAGCCAGTGTGAGGTAACACATTCCCCAGTTCTGCTGGAAAATCCCAGGAAGGAATATTTATCAGGGATCAGGTTAGAGTTTGCCAAACACCAAGGAGTGAGACACGTCCTGCTTGGGATGTGACGTGGTACCAAGGAAATGTCACTGCACATAGACACTGGCATGGCAAAGACCAAGGTTTTCTGACGGCCTCCCATTGTTGGAAGCAATTCCAGAGGGGAAATTGCCTCTCACAGTTTACATCCCTTGGAGGGGTATGCATTCTTCCCAGCCTGGACACCAGTTCCAGGAGTCTCTGAACTGTTGGGGTTTCAGGCACTGCAGAGAAAAGTCCAGCCCAAGGATTCCTGAACATTTTGCCTATTTCTACTTCAGAAGAGAGGGAGCAGGGACACCTTCCTCTAAGTTGAGGGATCTGATGTCAGCCACAGCCCCCACCATGACCCCAGGGTTTCATGCATATGATGCAAAGAACATTTAAGGTCATTGAATCCAGCCATGTGTCAGTTAGATCCCAATGTCTTTTTTTATATTGTTGTGCCCAAAACTGTCCCAGGACTCGAGGTGAGGCCCCCCTCAGTGCAGGGCAGAGAAGGACAATCCCTCCCTGTTCTTCAAGAACAGCTCTTCCACTGGGAATATTGCTTTTATTCCCCAGTATTCCAGAAGGAACTGTCCACTCAAAACTTCCCTCTGCCTTCCTGACCCTGCAAAATTCCTTGGCAGATGTTCAGAAGACATGAAGCACTGGCACAGCCCAGCCCTGTGCTCCTGCCCAGCAGGTTCCACAGCTCCCCGGAGGCACAGCCCTAGTTATCCCAACTCCAAACCCTTCAACCTAACTCCCTGGGAACTTCAAACTTCAGTTAAACACACCTTAAACATCACACCTGGGCCAAGCTCTTGCAGGCCCTCTGAGCATCACCTCTGAATAAGCTTGGGACAAGCATCAAATCCTGGGAACAGCTGCAAGGCTGACATGAACACACCACCCCCCCTCTCCAAACTTCACCGCTCTTCCCGAAATCCCAGACTTTTCTTTAAGCAGAGACACAGCCTGCTGTAGGGGAAGCCCACAGCACAACCACATAGGCAATTTTCTTAGGATTTGGGAAAACAAGAGCTGCAGCTACAGAGTGTTTTGGGATTGGAGCTGACGTCACATGCTGGCACTGCTCCACGTCCCACTCACACATTTGGCTAAGAAACGGCTTTTTAAGACAGTCTTACTTCAGTCTTTCCCCTTCACCCCTGGAATTACAGAACCAAATGTGCCTGAGGCTCCATAAAACCTTGGCATGGAAAATTTGGGTCCCAGAGGAATTTCCTAACTCCTTTACCATTTGAAGTAGGCACTGGGAACAACCTATTCCATAGGATGTTCCTGCTTTGTTTTACAGCTTCAGGAGGTTCTCAGGAGCTGCCAGAAAACCTACCAAAAGCTTCTGCTTACCCTCCCCAAGGTCCTGCCTAAGCCACATGCCAGCCTAGGGCAAACAGAAGCAATTTCCCCCAGAGGTTCCAGCCGCCCAGCACCCACCTGGATCTCTGAAAGAAGTTGAACGTGGACACATCATAGGCAGCTTTGAGCAAATGCACTTTGGGGTCGCCTTTGTAAAGGACACTTAGGCTGTAGAGCCTCATCGTGGCAGCTCCGTGGGCCTAGGGGAAAGGAAGGGTTGGGGCTGAGGCCGTGCAGGGGCAAGAACATCCTCGGACCTTCCTGTGCCACCCCTGTGCCTGGGGCTCCCCCCCAAACCTTCCTCACGTCATTTAAATGTCATCTCAGTCAGCCAGAACCCCCTTCCCCCTGGGAGCCGTGCCTGATTCCTCATCCCGATCCCCGCCCAGCCTAACGAACCCCTGCCCTTACCTGCCCCAGCTGGCCCGGTGTAACATAGCACCCAGCCCCTCCATGCAGTGTAACGCGGCCACTCCTCAGTACAACCCACTACAACCCAGGTCCCAGTAAGTCCAGCTGGCCCAGCCCCGCCTTCTCCTGTACAGCCCAGTTCCCCGCAATAACTCGGCACGACCCAGAGCCCCCGGTGCAGTCCCCGGCCCGGCCCGGCCCGGCCCGCCCCGGTACCGACGCTGCGGTCGCGACTCAGCGCAGGCGACGGCCGAGGGGCGATGGCACGACCCGGAAGTGGAACACGGCGGCCGGAAGTGCCTGTGCTGCCACGGTACTCTTCCGGCAATACGCATGCGCCAATCCCGCTCCGCCCCTCAGCCTTCTGACCAATCACCGCCAGCTCCCTCTCTCTCCTGTGTCAGCCGGGCGACCAATCACCGCCTCCCCGGCGTCGTGGGGCTGTGTTCGTTCCTCTTGGCGGCCAGCAGGGGGCGCTGTGCCCGAGCGGCGGGGCCGCGGGGGCGGGGCCTGTTCGACTCTCCCCCTGTGGGGCGCAGCTTCCACTGTGGAGCGGGGGCCCCTGTGTGGGGTGGGACTCCACTGTGTGGGGCGGGACCGCTCTGTGGGGCGAGGACTCTTCTGTAGGGCAGGACACCTCTGTGGGGCGAGGGTCCCTCTGTGAGGTGGGGGTTCTTCTGTGTGGGGCGGGACCCCTGTGTGGGAAAGGGGTCCCGCTGTGGGGCGAGATTCCCCTGTGTGGCTGGGGTCCCTGTGTGGGGTGGGACCCCTGTATGAGAGCCTCTCCCTATTAGTGTGGTGACCCTCTATGAGAAGAGGCCCCACGGGAGGAACAGGGGGAACAGCCTCCCCCGGATGCTGGGGAACAGCCTCCCCCGGATGCTGGGGGACACCTGAGGAGTGGGGACTCTCCCATGGGGCGGTTCTGTCCCATGGTGGAGGTATACTGCCGAGGGCTGGGTGAACCTCCTAAGGGTTTCGGACCACTCAGAGGTGTGAGGACCCCTCTATGGGTGAGCACCAGCATAGGGGCAGGGCTGCTCCTGTGCTCGCAGTATCCCCTGTGCAGGGGCAGATGACGGACGGCGGGGTGACCCTGCATCCCCGAGGCTCTGTTCTGCCCTCCCCAGAGACCACGCAGTCCCACAGGGAATTGTCACCCCTGACACCCATCCGGGCTTCCCGGGGACCCTCCTCAGCTCTGTGTCTGAGGAGATGCTGCCACAGACCAACACCAGGAGGTTTTGGAGTGCACCCATCCTTTCTCATCCTGGGGTCTCGGAGCACTTCCCAGTCGCCCTTGCCCCTCCGCGGGTGTCTGTAGGCCATGCTGTGTCCGCGGTCTCCATGGGAGCATGCCGGTTGCCAAGCCGGCGGGTGGAGTGCTTGCCACCACCATCGAGCCGTTGGTATGACAACGGGGACACGGGTGACCCGGGGCGTGGTGCTTCGCGTGACGGGGCCAGCGGCCCCTGCGGGGAGGGTCCTGGCCAAGCCTCGCCAACACACCAGGGGGTCCCTACGGGGTGCCAGAACTCGCTGCGCTGGGCTAGGACCCCCGCGCCAACACCAGCCCGGGAATTTATTGACACATTAAGGAAGCAAGCAATAGAACGTGAGCGGAACCCCTCCGGAGCAGAGGATGTGGGGAGACAGGGCTGATCCCACCAGGGCCCCGGGCCCCGCTTCCTGCCCTTCTGCTTGAGGCCTGGGGGCATCGAGACTCCCTCAGTGAGTGCTGGACTGGAGCATCAGATGAGATAACGCAGCGAAAGTGGAGCATCCTCGTGTGGAGCAAGGGACGGAGCAAGGGACGGAGCAGTCCAGAGCCTGCCGGACACCCTCCAGGACAGGGCAGAAAGCTCCCCTAGGCCAGGCACCACGGTGGGGACACAGGGGCTGAGGGGGGCACGGCTTGGCCCGTAGCCCACCCCACCACCTGCCCCCATGCTGGATCACCGAGCCAGGATGGAAAGCAGCAGGAAGGAGAAGGTGAGGCTGCTGCCAGGGCAATGCTGGGGGGGCGGGGGGGACAGGAGGTGCCCAGTGGGTATGGGGAAGAGTGCGGATCCTCACCGGGGTTCCAGCCCTTCCTGGAGCAAGAGGCCAGGTGCTCCCAGCATCTCTCAAGGTTCCAGCAGAGATGTCCAGGAGGCTGACTGGTGGGAAGGACATCAGCTTCCAGGCAGCTTGGGGGAACATGGCCCAGGGAGGTCCCTATCCCTGAGGTCACCCCCCAGCACAGCACAGGCCCTACAGCACTGAGGGCTCATGATGGAACTGGGAGCATTTGCAGGACATTCTGCTGGGCTGGGATACTCCCACCATCCCACCATCACCCTGGGCATCTTGTAGCCATGCAGCTGCATGCTCAAGATGAGATGGGGCCTGTCACCTCCTTCAGCTGGCTGTCATCA